TTTGTTCGGTCAATTCTTTCTCACTCAAGGGACTCAAGATCATTTATTGCATCACCTTTCTGTTCTCCACACCTGTTCGACACTCCTGCGTCTGTTAAAGGTCCGTTTCTTGGTGCTCTTAGGCTTTACGCGACCACAAATTCCGAAGTCTCCCTCTAATCTGTCACGGAATCATGCGTCTCTTTCCTGAGTTTGTTCATTCTTAGTCCATCTACCCTCAATTTCTTTAAGCATTTGTACAGTTTATGCACTCTTCAGTTCTAAACTCATTGGCTCGCAAGACCATGAATGCGCTGTCAACCCCCCGTCTGAGCAATCGTCGTTAAACCATCCAAGTGCCTCTCCACAAACATTTCCATTTAATGGATGCTCGTCAATCTGTCAAATCGTCTACTCATTTACTTACTCATTAGGTAGTCAACACCTTGTGCAGTACTTATTCATTTGCTCTCCAATAATTCGCTATTTTGTACAACTGTCCTTGGGGAATCCATCTCTGGGCGTCGATCTTCCCCTTCTGACCTTATTTTCCCCTTGGTTGCATGTTACTTCACCCTTGACGTTCGTGCTCACTGGTCTTTGATCTGTTTCTGAGTTCATCCACGGGTTTATTTGAGTGGTTCACATTAATCCACCCTTACATCTATTTTTAAACCTCCTGTTGGCTTTGTCCGTGACACATTTCCTACCCACCCTTCCACTCACTTTTCTCTTGTACTTCCAACCATCCATTCATGTACTTCTTGCATGCAAATCAGGTTTTCCATTTTGATTTACTCCGTTATTCATTTCTGATAAATCCATACTACCTTTCATTCCCCGGTCATTGCTCCCATTCCTCTTTGTTCCTCTATGTTCAATCCACACATCGGGGACCTTCCATTTCTCCATCATCTCATTTGTCCTTATCAATCACCACCGATCAAATCATTTGAAGTACTCCCAATTCATTAATCACTACCTATCCTGCTTCTACGTTTTTCTCCTAGATCTGACAACTCTTTCTTCGCCGTCTACGACGCGAGTTTGAACTCCTCGCGGGTCCATCCATTGGTGCGTTCTTTTCTGCTGTCTATCTCACCCATCTCTCTACAACCTTCTTTTTTGTCACCTAGACTGCTCATATCCTCCCTCAAACCATATTCGCCTTCTGGTCAGTTGTCTATCGTCGCGAGCTTCGCGCTTTGAGGCTTTGCGGTGATCTCACCGCCACCAAGAATTCACCTCTTCACAGCCGTCAGGGTCTGCGTAACCCTATTCCTGAAGTCCAGCTTCGTCCATCAACACATGCTTTCAAGGCACTGGTACCTTTCATCAGAGGCAAGAGTCATTATTCTCATTTGTTTTTCCCTAGATCTTGTTGTGGCCTGCGTGTCGTTTAAGTTTGTTTCGCGTCAAGAGTTAGCGCTTCGAGAAATCTCTACTGCTATTGACTCACTCTCCTCCTCCTCCGCCTCTTTCGATCCAACCGATTGGATCACAGAAGCTGTAGCCTGCGGTTTGATCCAAGAATTTGATGACTCCGATTTTGGCATACCTCGGATTCTTAAGGAAGCCGAGGATAGTGAATGGATAACTCGTCAAGCAATTGGAATTGAAACCCTCCCTCCAGGTCTTTTAAAACAGCTGGAAATGATGGATGCAGAAGAGGAGCAAGAAGGTATTGATTATGAGGTTGCCACTGCCCCATTATCTCCACATGGTTCTAGGAAGCGTAGACTTCTATCTGACCAAGGTGTTGGTAGAATGTCTTCTAAGAGGCCTCGTAGGGATCAAAAAATGCGTACATCCAAGTACCTCTCTCCTACATGGGTCATCATCGCCAACTGCCTCCTTGAACACGGTATGTATAAGGAGGTGAATGCACTGGAGGGCTTGATTGCCAAGTTTGCAGACACAGTAACGAATGGGAATTTTAATGCACATGCTTTTATGCGTCGATGGCTATGGCTTCGATGGTTGGGTATGAAGAGCTGTCTAGAAGACCTCCTCAATCCTATCTTCATTACCGGTGGAGGTGCTCCATCAGTCAGCGTGGAAGGACTCAAAGACCTAAGCGTGTGTATTCACTCTGTAAGTTCTGGTCTTTGTCTTGCCTTTTACTTATACTGACAGTCGAATACTGTGTCATTTTTAAATCGCAGCTTCGAGCCTTGGCAGATATTGCTGAGAAGGCGATGTCTGCTGTTGATTGCAATGGTGATAGCGGGGAGACGGTGTCGAATAAGGCTAAACTCAAAGTCATTCAAATGCTTGCCGAGTACACTCACTCAGTGTCCCTTCTTCTGCGATTGGGTCTACTTCCACAGGCCTCTGACTGTGCTTATCGGTTGAGAGCATCAAGGTACGTCCACTTCTTTTTTTCCTACTATGCATCTAGCAAGAATGGATGTGCTTGTAATTTGGATTAATGAAAACCTTAGAGGCTATTAATTCATTCGATTCTTGCATTACAGTGAAGCTCTCCTGTCACCCTACGATCCTACTGAACTCAGTAACTTTCTTGCCAAACTGCAATCGGCGCACGGGCAGACAACCATCCCTCCTACTCCTCCTTCCATCACTCATTGCATCATGAACTACCTCCGCCAGCTATTGTCTGCCGTTGAGTTGGACGAGGAAGCAGCGGCGGCCGTTGAGTCGGAGGTGACCACTGTCTACCCACCCCGCCATCTCCAGTCCGTGTGCGCTTTGTGGCAATGCCCCGGGCCGACACCCCAGCTGCCTACCATCCGTTTAGCGCTCCTCACCTTCCTCCTCTTTGACAGTGTTGCCGTTAACGCTCTCCATGGTGGAAAGGTGAACGAGAATGAGAAGAAAAGCAGTGATGGCACGGAATGTCCGGAGGTAAATGGTGCCAGACGAGTGCGTCTTGCCACGCAGACATCCAAAGGAGCAGGTACCTCCAGTTTTGGACCAATAGCTCAGGCTGTCAAATTGGTGAGTTTAGTATCTGGTATCCATTTTCAAGCCCTTTTGTTCTCTTTCACTTCCAAGCTAAGTTGACTCCTTCAAACCCTATTCTAAATAACTTTGGTCAATCACATTTTTTAGCGAACCTAACCGTATAACACTGTCAGAAAAATTTCGTGTAAAACCATACTCTTATCTTTTTCGTGGTATATTTTAGTCCTAATTCTTTGCTTTCACCT